TTTTTTTTTTTTGGATTTTATATTTCTATTTGCAATCAGTATAATTTACATTACTATAAGCAAATATGTTGCAATGTGTAAGCGTTGCAGTGGACACGAAAGTTTTGTCCAATGACAAGAACTTGGTTAATTACTCTACATATATACATATACTAAGGCTATGGTTATTACTAATTATTTATTTAGTTACATTTACTTAAATCTCGAGGGCAAGTCGAGAGTTTTTTGTCTTTTTAACCTGTGCGAGTCCTCACTATTGTCTAACAAATTTAGGGCAAGTGGATTTGGATGTACTTCAAGTTTAGTTAAATACTTTTCACTATAGTTACTCACTTCCTCTTTGACTGATTTCACTTTTAAGTCTTCTAAGATTTCTCTGTTCGGTATAAACCACGGAGCATTAGTTATTGTTCTTAGAATTTTCGACTGAAAGCGTTCTAATATTTCTATGTTAGAGACAGAAGCTGTTCCCCATAGCTGTATCCCGTAAGTCCAGATGGGTTTGAAGGCTGCTTTATACACCAATAGTTTGTTTTCAAGCGACAATTTTGATTTTCGACCCAGTAACCAGTAGTGTTTGGTAAGTTTGTGCCCGAGTTGTTTTCTTTTATTGAATATATGGGTTTTCCAAGTTAAACCTTTATCTAGGTGCATACCTAGGTATTTGACCTGATCAGCTTGTGGCACATTTTGGTCATTGAATCTGACTGCTGGTGTCTGTCCTCTGCACTTTGTAAACGTGACATGTACAGACTTGTCTTGGTTTATTTTTATACGCCATTTAGATGTCCATTTTTGTATTTGGTTTAGGTTTAGTTGAAGCATCATTGCAGCAGTGTTTGGATCCTTATGTTTTGCCAGTATCGCTTTATCGTCGGCGAATGTTGCTGTGCATGTTTGCTGATCGGTAGGTAAATCAGACGTGAAGAGGAGATACAATGTTGGTCCAAGGATGCTACCTTGAGGTACTCCTGCTTTTATCGGATACAGTGCTGTGTCATCCTGTCCATATTTCACTCTAAAGTATCTTTCTTTCAGGTACGATTCTAGGATGATATACAGCGTGTATGGGAGTTCTTTCTTGAGCTTGTATATGAGTCCCTCATGCCATACTCTATCAAACGCCTGGCTCACTGACCATGATTTTTTCTGAAGCCGAATTGGTGCTCAGGTATCAGGTTTTTTTCCACTATCACCGCCATTAGGCGTGTGAGAAGTAGTTTCTCAAGTAGTTTGCTAAGGATGGGTAGCAAGCTAATCGGTCTGTACGATGTTACTTCGTTGTTTGGTTTTCCAAGCTTAGGAATCAAGATTATTTCGGCAACTTTCCATTGAGGTGGAAAATAACCAATTCGTAGTACTGCGTTGTAAATAATTGTTATCAGCACTATTCCTTTTCGTGGCAATTCTTTAATAAGGCGTCCTGTAATCAAGTCGTGCCCAGGTGCCTTGTTGGGGTTTAGGTTTTTTCTAATCATAGCTTGCACCTCCTTTACTGTAAACAGTTTTGGCAGAAGTGACAACTGATGCGGTGCTTCGAGGAAGTCTTTTATTTCTGCATCTTCTGGTGGGGCGTTTTGGGAAGGCAGGGGAGAAAATACTTTCTCCAGGTGTTGTCCAAAGGTGTTAGTCTGTACGAGCCCACGATCCGTCATCTTTGCGAATAGGGGGAATTGGGTTTTTTGTTTTGTTTAGTTTTCTAGTGGCTCTCCAAAGCGAATAATCATTTTCGGGTGTATGTGATAGACTTTCTAGATATTCCTTGAAAGAGTTATTTTTTTGGTTCTTAATTGTAGTCTTGAATTCCTGCGGGAGTTACTTTTGCCAGTATGGTCCTATTTTTTTCAAATTTGTAAAGCGTCTGTGGGTCTGAATTAGGATAGGGCCCTAATTAAACTTGTGTACAAAATTGTGCGATTAACAAGTATGCATATTCAACTGTTCACCACAAATGATTATTACTCAGCTGTTACAACCGGAAAAGTACTTACCTTTAAATCGCGAACTTATAAAGTTGGCCTAGACCTCATTTCGAAGAAAGTAAAGTCCAAAATTTTCTCACCTTTTAAAGTCCAAAGGTATGGTAGTCGTTCAAAGTTCAAAGGCTGGAGGTCAAGTTCAAAAATTGCTCACGGTTTAAAGTCCAAAAGGGTGGTCGCCATTCAAAGTCCAAAGTGTGCTCTGGTCTACAATTGTTTAAGGTTGTGCGCGCCAAGATGGCGCCTGTGTGCACACTTATACAACTTCAAAGTCAGATGATAATAAAACTCAAACAGTTTGTCTGTATTATACCCTTAATTTCGCTGAAATCGCTTCATTGGTTAATTATGAATTAAAAACGGGTTCACTTTTTCAATGACCCTGTATATTGACGAAGTGGATATTTACAGTCATACTGGTAATCAGTATCGATTACAGATGAACGTACATGCGCGGAAGAGGCTCATATTCCAAAAATTCTGTCTACACTAGCAGATTTATTAAGGACCATTGCTAAGGGTGTATAATGTGATGGAATATCTTCATTTTCATCTACAGTCGGCACCTCTCCTATCACTGTACTCTGTAGAAATTATGGCGGGGGTCTCAATGATGGAGTAGAAGTGGTAATGGGGAGATTTATTTCCAAATGGGGAGGTCTAGCCAATTGACTAATATCAGTTGGCGGATATTTTTGAAAGTACGGAAGTCTAACCAGCGGACTTATCTCGTTAAGGGAATAAGGCCTTCGTCGCGATCGTGAGTAATAAGTTTCGCAGGCGTACGCTGTAGCGGTGGTGACTCTCTTCTTGCAGCAGATTGGCGTTTGGGAAAGGGAGGGGGGGGGGGGTTCGTAAATACTTCGTCCTCGCTTCTTTTTCCTCTTTCGTTTTCGTTACAATGACCGATGAATTTCTGTTCTCTAATACTTTAGAGCCTGAATTATTCGTCTAGGTAAAATACCCTATTTCATGCATAGGTTGTAGGACATCTTTCAATAGTCTATATTTATCCTTATTTAATGATTTGGAATAGACGTACGCGTGCTTGAAGGCCTTGAAGCGTAGACCATTACGTTCAGTTAGTAGACTGACATCGTATTTGTTTTCACGCAATTGGGTGGCCCGCATGTGACCATTACGTTCAGTTAGTAGACTGACATCGTATTTGTTTTCACGCAATTGGGTGGCCCGCATGTGATACCACGTATTGTATCTCGAAGCAGTTCTCGATGCCTACCGACCACACTTTGGTTTTTAATGAGATCATCATCATTCTTTGCAGGTAGTTTACTACTTTGGGGAACACTACTTACTACTTAATTAAAAAAACCATAATAATAATCACTATCTTTTTATATCTTATTCATCTCACCAGTAAGAGGGGGTGAATAAGTGCGTCGTGTAGAATAAGACAATGCGTTGCTATTCCAGCATTAAACGAAGTCCGCGATTCGATTTCTAACTTTTACCGACTTGGTAGTACTCGTAGCTTCATCAAAATGTACCTCTTGGAAAATATTTAACGTTTAGGTCATTTTTCACTCTTTCTTTGGGCACTGATCGCAAAAATTGTTTCTCGAAGGAAATTAATTCCCCACATGCCTCGATAAGTCTATAATTCCAAACTTCCAATGATTATATTCCTTTGCGTCAAATCAATCGATTCCTTACCTCTGTCCCTTCTTGCTGGCGCCCCAATCTTTCTGTCGTATTTTACTTTCTACTTCTTCAGCTGTTTTATAAATTAAAAAAAAACTCCTATATCCACGCTCAGCTAACATGTTAAGCAAAATAAAGCCTCTTTAAATACTTTTATTCTTCCTTTAGACAACTTATATTTGTGAATTACAGACTACTTAAAAACATTAACACACTTCTTAACATCCGTCATAATCTCTCCGTCTCTGATACCATACCGGGCCATCGCCTTACCATATATGTTTACAACCACCTCTTGACAATTAGAATGGTCATATAAAGTCATATAAAATCATTGTGCAAAATTTTCAACACAAAGTTACCGATTGAGGACTGCTGTCACGTTTAAAAAATAAATGGGAAATGAATAGGAATCTAAAAAGTAATTAGATTTATATACGCGAAATAGAATTTTCATTTTGATTAATCCACACAAAAACTATTATTGATTTTTCCCCAGGGCGTAAACGAACAATACCCGTAGGTAGTACCTCAGTGACACAAAAAGTCGTATTATATTTACATTAAATTTAGGAGTCATAAATCATCTTTTATGTGTAAAATCAATAGCCTAAACACGTGACGCGCGAATTACTTAATACAGCAAGGTATAAAGGTAAATATGCACCCGAAATTTTTTACGTTACGTTT